AAAAAAAAAAAAAAAGAATCATCAAGGGGTAAAAACTAGTAATAAATAGCTTTTATATTTGATTGTGGAAACACAGACTCTTAGAGACAGTAGACAAATTCTTCAGTGGCTCCTGACCTTCATGGACACTCCTCAGAAGATGCAGGAGTGCAACTACACTGAAGATTTGCATTTGAATATGGAAGGAGAAAAATCACAAACTCCTTGGAAATCAAGTAACCTAAAGCAAAGTAATGAAGCCAGAAACATCTGGCCCCATGATAACAAGTATAAACGTAGGGTCCGCATAATAAGACTTGGTAACATGACAGAAGAGTGCCTTTCCTTCCGGTTTCTACATGGTGTCAGAAGACCTGTAGGGAGAAAAGTCTGACTGGGGGACAAGGGAACTGATGCAGACCAAGGCAGGACCCTTCTCCAGGCTCGCTCCTCGAATGAGAAGCTGCTCAGGTAGCTCATTTCTTTCCAGATCTTCCAATTTGAGAAAGAAGTCCAATTGTTAACAACAGGCCTCCTTCCTGCATCTGTACGTACTGGCTCTTTATCACATGGAAACTACCCACCTCTACCCACTAAGTACCCAGGGGCCTCTGATTCACCCACTGCACAAACTCCGGTCCTGTGCATGCTTGCCACTTGCCTGCCCTCCACTTGGCCCAAGGGTCAGGGGAGCAATCCAGTCAAAATGCAGAATCTGGACAACTCTAGAATGTAGGACATTTTACTCGGTGAACCGATTTTGACAGTTATTTGCTCTTGGCTTTTTCCTCACAGTGACAGAGGCACAAAGCTTGAAGCAGAAGGAGGAATTCTGTAATGGGTATTCTGCTGGAGCTTTTTTCCTCATATGTACTTCCCCAACTAGGAAAAGATATAAACTTACTAAATAGGATGGTGATCTGTTCAGATTGTTGTTCATGAAAATTAAAAAGTAGCTGAGGAGGAATCTGACACATGTTCAGGCGGAATTCATGCTAACTTACAAAAGTGCATTCTTCTCTGGTCTTTGAAAAACCATTTAAAAATCCAGTCACCTGTAAGGCATGTAACTAGAACAGTCCTGATTTGCTTTAATTTGGGTACCTGCCCTCCTCACCCTTCACACTTCAGGTCAAATGAAAAGCCTGTTGCACAAGCCGCGTGCCGGCCCTCACCTGTAAGCTTCGTCTAAGGACATGTCCATCCTCTTCATGATGTAGGCGATGGCGATGGTGGCTGAGCGAGAGATGCCCGCTAAGCAGTGCACCAGGACACGCCCGTTGGAGGCCTTGGCTTTCTCTGCGGGAGTCAAATTCAAGAAGGGTCACTAAGAACAACCGTGGTCAACAGTGAGATCTTGCGGTCATGTACCTCCTTTCATCCGATAACTCAAAGTAAATCTCATCTACTTACATACTGTTCCTTTCAATAGTTTCTTAGGGAGATAAAGGAAGATCACTTCCCCACCATTTACATTCAGGACAATGAAGGGCCAGATGTGTTAAGTCAGCAACGACTCCCTAACTCAAGCTCACTTCTTAGTACATTTCCCAGTGGGTTTTTTTTTACATTATTTTTTCATTTTAATAACTTTCCCTGGGTATAAATCCTACATTATGATGACATGATTCTACTTGTTTAGTGTGGAAAACTGCAGAATACAGAGAAGTATAAAGAAAATAACCTCTCAAATCCGAAGATGTAGCTAGTATTTTGTTGACCCATGTTGTCTGACACTTCAACTTTTTTCTAGCTAGGAAGAGATAGTAAACTTTTTTTTGTTTAGAGACAGAATTTTCAGTTTTGAGATATAACTGACATGTAACGTTGTATTTCAGTATAATGATTTGCTACATATAGGAGGTATGAAATTTTTAAAAATATTTTCTCATTTCAAACATATGTGACATACATTACTAACTGAAAAAGCAGGAGGGTGGACTTCATCACCATATCACATCAGAAAGCAAGAAGATGCCAGGTCAAGCTACTTTTAAAATGCTGACTCACAGACCCTATCTTCCTATAGTTTCCTGTTTTTGTTTAGACTTTTCTGTACGTCATAAAGTGGCTCGACTTTATTTGCTAAATTTAAGAAGAAAACCACGTATATGCTATGAATCGGGTTTAGCAGCTCACGTTAGCAAGGACCCAGGGAACTGGAACCTTTTCTGGATATCCAGGAGTTCCTGACTGCATCATGTCTATTCCACACGACATGGCAGGACTTCTGGACACTTTGTTAGAACCAAGAACATTCAACCCCAGTGCTGCCATCTTTCCCTGTCGAGGGGCTTTACAAGTTACTTGCAGGAGTAAGTTGCCCCACGCCGCCTGGAAGCTACCAACATTTTGCTGGTACCAGGGCCGCCTCCGTTCTAAACGACAACATGCGTGCTTACCGGTGAGCCACTGCCACGGGGCTCAATTCTTCCCTTTTCACTCCTGTTTTAGCTGACACCAGCAAAAGTTACCAAACCTTGTAGTACAGTTCCTGTAATTAACAGATATCCTGGGAATCTGCTCTGGCAGCTGAATAATAATATGAGGCCACTCCAGTGTCACTGCTTCTGTTGTAAGTATTACAAATTCCTAATGTAGATGATTTATTATTGTGTACAAAACACATAGGACTTTTGGATAGTATATGAATAAACAACTTTCCTCAGATAGTGAAGTCAAACACAATGAAACGGTAACAAATGAATATAAATTCTTCTTGAAACAAAGAAATATATAATATACAACGTGATAATATATAAACCCATGTACATAAAGTCCCATGCCTTCCTGGGCCCGTACCGTTCTCTTCCTTTTTTCAACTATACAGTCATCAGCCTGTACTAATCTTAGTATTTCCCCTTTTGCCTAGGCTGCTAAGAAGCTCAAAGCTGAGATTTTTTACTCAATTTCAATAGGTAACTGTAATTCAGATTTTACTGTACCTTTTCTAGCCCCATATTACTTGGTTCTTGCCCTTTGATCCTGTTTTAATGTGTATGTGTGTAATGTGTGTATCTTTTGATCCCAGTCTCATACTGTAAGCTGCTTTAAATTCTTATTGGAAGTAGGCTGGGTTTCAATTTTTTAAACTTTATTTTTTAGTTAGAGAGTGTGTGTGCACTCAAGTGGGGAGGTGGAGCAGCGGGGAGTTGGAGGGGAGGTGGGGTGGGGGAGAGGGAGAACCTTAAGCAGGCTCCATGCCCAGCACAGAGCCTGATGGGGCTCCATCTCATGACCCTGAGATCATGACCTGAGCCGAAATCAAGAGTCAAGACGCTGAACGAGTGACCCACCCAGGCGCCCCTCAAATTTTTTTTAAATGTTGACAATATTCTCTCAATTATTTAAAATAGTTATCTCAAAACAAGACTATAAGGACTTAGGAGGATCTTGCTTCTACCTCAGAGGGCTTCACACTGGGCATATATTATGCACCCAGTACATACTGGCTGGCTGACTAATACATACCTTTAAAAAGCAATCTTTATAAAAAAATGTGAAAAGGGTTGGAAGGAAATAAAACAATGATGATAACAGATGTGTTAGGATGTTGAGGTTATAGGTTTCCTTTTCTCTTTTTCGAATATTCTGCATTGTACTTACGTTGCTTTTACAATCACGACACTTTTGAGGATGTATTTTAGAAATCTGAGGGGCGCCTGGGTGGCTCAGTCTTGATTTTAGCTCAGGTCATGATCTCAGAGTTGTGGGATCAAGCCCCGTAGGCTCAGCGCTCAGCGGGAAGTCTACCTGGGATTCTCTCTCTCTCCCTCTGCCGCACCCCTCCCCACCCCATGCGTGCAGGCTCTCTCTAAAATAAATAAATAAATCTTAAAAAAAAAAAAAAAAGTATTACACTGGATTGGGGTTCTGCTCTTGGGAGAAATGAGTGCTAAAGGGAGTCTTAAAGCAAAGGAGGTCACATGCCCAGGGACCTGGCAAAGAGAAGGGAAAGGTGTGCGAGGCAGCCGTGCAGGGGGACCCAACAGGTGGCTGTGGCACACATGTTGTGGGGCAGGGGGTTACCAGAAAGGAGGTGTCAAAGGTGGGGAGCAGGTGCTGCAGGGTCTGGGAACATTAGGCTGAGGACCGCAGGCTGCTGAACAGGGAACAGCAAAAGCACTGACGGTGACAAGTGGAAAGAAGAAAGGCAGGCTGTCACTACAGCAGTTCAGGAATAAAAATCTAGGACAAAAAGGGGCAGAGAGGATAACAAACGAAAAAGGTAAGGGGGAGCCAGTGAGGATGAGACGTTATAAAGGCCAAAAATAAAGAAGCAATAATTGAGCTCACTGAGGACAGCTCTAAGGAAAACCAAAAGAACTTCTCAGATGATCATTTGTAAAACTACTAAAGAGCCAATTATGAATTAGGCACTTTGCAAGGTATTCTCCATCCGTTATCTATTTTAATCCTCACAATATCCCTCTAAAGTATACAGACTATCTTCAGTTTCCAGGTCAGGAAATGGAGAAACTTACCCCAGATCACTTAACTAGTAACCAAGGAAGGCAGGGCCCAAATACAGTTTGACTCCAAAGTACATGCCCTGAGTCACCCCCCTGTGCGGCCTGCGCGCAAACCCAAGAGGCGGGGCAGGAGCCGAGGGTAGGGTGAGGAGGGAGAGGGCCGGAGGGGCAGCCAGCCGGGACCGGGCATCTTGAGAGTGTCCCGCAGTCCCAGGCAACCCCAGCTCACTGCTGCACGTGTGAACTAAAAATAAAGACAAAACTCCAGAACACTTGAGTCCTTCTAACAAACCCAGAAACTTATTTGAAATTTATCTCAGTAATAAAAAGACAAAACCCCCACAAGCCTGCAAGTCACTCAGCCCTGGTACGGGGGCAGTCTTCCCACTGCGCGCCCTGCCAGGACGGACCACGGCAGAGAGCACGGCAGAGGCCAGCAACCACCGTGACCCCGCTGGACGCCCTGAATTACCTGGAGGGGTCGGGGAACGGTGACTCTAGTAAATAGGGACGAGTAAGTGAAATACTGGGAAGTATAAATATTTTCAGATATTACTAATAAATTAGAATATCATTTGGGTGTGCTTAACCAAGATGAAACATGGTAAATTCCTTCTGTCTGAATTAAGTGGCAGGATGACCCCAATATCTCTCAGGAGAGAAGCAAGCAAGCTGGGGCAAAGTTATTCATATTCTCTCTTTTCTGCTAACCCTCCTAAAGCTCAGACATTATGATGAGTTCTCTTCTAAATAGATCCTGAAATTGCACTTTTAGCTGAATCTAGAGCCAAATGTCTTTGGGTTGACAGGACATGCAATAGGAACATTAACCGTAAGTGTTACCTTCTAAAGAGGCAAAAACTGAATGATATACTGAATACTTCCTAGAAATACATCGGTGGGGGTGATTCATTTGGGAGTTCTGTTTGTGAATATTATAATGTGAATTATCTTCTCTAAAGCCTTTTATCTTCTGATGTTTCAAAGAATGCATCCTAATTAAAGATGAAAACTTTTGGCAATCTGGAATCTTGAAGGAAAAAAAAAGGGAGAACTGTTTTGGAATTACTCCAAGTTCCAAAAGCATTATCTAGAAATTCCTCTCACAGATGAAAAGGTATAGTTGAAGGGCTTAATGTACTTAATTTCACGTTTTAAAAGGAACTAGTTCTTTTTTAATTACAGTAACGAATTCAGAGATATTAATTATGGGGTAGAAGGCACACACTTCTGTGACTAGACGAAGAAAACATCAAAAACTTCTCACATACAACATCAGGAGTGAAGCTCATCATGCTGCTCAAGAGCAAAGAGCGTATCTCCCCTGTTCAGCCACTCTCCACTAAAACTACATTTCAACTACACATCACCAGTTTACCACAGAAGACCCGATCCTGAGGCGCCAGTGTCACCAAGCCCCTGCAGCTAGGAGTCGGGAGGCTCCAGGACTGACTGGCCAGCAAGCAGAACACAGCACCGGGCAGATCAGAGCTTGCCACAGCCAACCCCAAGGACGTGAGTGAGTGAGTGTGCGTGTGTGCGCATGTGTTGGAATTTTATTAGATCCCATACTACTTGAAATTATTGGCAAGCGAAGTGAGGCTTACAAATCTCGTGACATAAAGGCTTTAAATGTAATGAAATGTGTTTTCACAGGATTTGACTTTTCTCTGGGGAGAACATAGCAGCGAGGTAAAAACAGTTTAAGGAATGCCACCAAGGTTTCCCAAAGTCTTTTATAGGATTTGAAAAAATGGCTAAAATTTAATCCCAGAAGTTTAAGTGATTTTCAAACACTGGCAAATACACAATCACAGATCCCATCAGGCTTAACCTTGGTAGTGTTAAGGTAGCTGGAATGTCACAGGGCAGTCCCTCAGGAACAGCATGGCACACCCGTCACCTTGGCCACTGAGTAAGATAAGCAGCATCATGTGTTGTTCCTAGACTTATGAAATCTCTGAACATAGGCCCCTTTTCTCTCCAGAGAGAAAAAGGGAGGGAGGTAAAGGGTGCACCTGCACATGAGACTATAACCCAGAAGACTTGTAATACCACTGGAGCTACTTACCAATGAAATCCACTGATTTGTCCAACCATGGCAAAATCTTCTCACAAAAGCTGTCATTCACAGGCACTCGCAGGAAGTGAGACTCGGGGATAAAGTCAGGCTTAGGACAGGTATTGCTGGCATTTAACACATAACCAATCCCATTCTGTTGCATCAGCTCCTATGGAGGGAAAGAGCAATTAAAGTGATTAACATACCAGCACAATCATTTTGGAAGAGTAAAAGTTTAATGATAACAATTACTAGTTTCCTTGAAATCAGAGTTAATTCAATCGGTGAAATCCAAAAACCTAGCACAGGGACATTTAGAGACTTTAGTTTAAAGCAGAATTGTTTTTAAGGGCAAAAAAAAGGCTGTGTAAAATAGTATGCTTGAAGGGATGCCTGGGTGGCTCAGTAGGCTGAGCATCTCACTCTTGGTTTCAGCTCAGGTCATGATTTCAGGGTCACGAGATCGAGCCGGGCCGGTGTTAGGCTCCACAATCAGCAGGGGGTCTGCCTGCGATTCCCTCCCACTGCCCCTCCCCCAACTCTCTCAAATAAGTAAATCTTGAAAATAAAGTAATATGCTTGAAGATCACGCATCATTAATATAATCAACTCTGTTATCTTCATTACTGAGAAGTGGAAGAACACAAAATAAAACCATGACAGTTTACTATGACTTTAGAGTATAGATAGGCACACACAACAAGAACATTTTCTTCCCAAACAGAACATGCTGGTTGTTCTCAAAGATAAAGTCCTAGGCAGTCTTGTGGCTCTGAATACTCTCTTTAAAAGACTGAATCTATTGCCTTTGCTTTAATTATCATTTCTACACATTGACAACTTTTAAATATACATTCTCTTTAATTTCCCACCCATCTTTCCAACTACCTACTGGGTATCTCTGTTTGTATGTTTCTCAGGCCCTTCAAACTCACAATGTCAGAAACTCAACAAATTATATCTCGCTGTAACCCAAAGTTGGGTTTATGGTAATACCATCTACTCAGACACTTGAGCTAGAAAATATGATCGTGTCATTTCTCTTCCTTCACGACCCCCATCCAAATGGTTGCCAGATCCTTTTGGTATCCCTCTCCCATTTGTCCTCTCCTCTCTGTTGCCTGTCACTGCTCAGTCAGTGGGCAGCCACAACAAAAAAGCCACCAGGGAGCTCTTGAAGTTGTGATGCTTCATCTCTAAACCATATACTGAACAAAATCCAGAGTAACCAAACATGGGCTAAGTGCTCTGCCCACACTTCAATGTCGTGTCGCCGCCTGCTCTTGTCCAAATCCCCCAATGTCACATGTACACCCAGCCCTCCCTGCTGCCGTTCACACCACTCCTGTGCTTCGTAGGCCCTGTTCCTCTTCCTGGTCACTCTCGTCCACTTTTCCGGCTTTGATGAAATTAACTTTACCGAAATTAGCTCCTTCCACTGACGCATAATTCACCATTCCATTCTCTGCCCTTCCAAAGTACTTTGTTCACCAAGCACACTGTTGTAATGAGCAGATAATTCTTGTCTCTCCTATTAAGTAATGAAGTAGTGAGATCTTGGACTGAGTCGCACTTGTTTTTCTACCTTCAGCACCAGGTACCTAGTTGTACTCAATACGTGTTTGTTCAACCGACAGCCTGTCTACCATTTTCTAGGCAAGCCTACACAACCCCACTTCCTTTAGTTCAAAAAGTTCTAAGCCTGAAATAATTCTCTTTTAAGCAACTCTGGTCATTTATTCCCTTTCTTGGAATGGTACCTCCTCTACAAAAGTTTTCCAACTACCTGAGAGACAGTTGGTCATTTTCTTCCTATTTTCCCTCCTGAAATATGCCAATTCTAAACCTCTTCGTTTACCACATCTGGCACAATAAATACATTTTACATAAAAGGTAGACTTAATAAATCCAAGTCATGTATGCAACCCTCTCTCAATTAGGAGATGATAATGTCAAGAAACAGCTCTGGGAACCAGGTGAGTTTCCTGGACTGACCCACTGACCCTGGCGCTGTGCCAGAGCCCCAGTCTTCTCATGTTCTCATTTGCTTCTGGGAGGTTCACAATCAGTCTGTGAAGTTCTTAATGGTGTGTACTACAACTTTTCAGCTTTTGCACATGTAGCAAAGGTCACATTTGTTTTTCCACGCTGAGATTACTACCATTCGATCAACCGCAGTATCTCCCATGTAAGCACAGCAGCGGGTCACTGGAGTTAAGGAGCCTTTCAGGCCTTTCTTGCAATGGTCCTTAAAGGAATCATTTTATAGGTCTTTCTCCTATCCACCAACAGGACTACAAATTAAAAGTGAAGGGACATAGTTACATCACTTTCCACCCAATTCAGTAATGAAGACCTAGAAGTTTCAGAAGATAACAGGCAGTTCTCACTAAAGACAAAACATGTTACAAGTCTATAATGACTGTCAAACCTGATTTCCCCATAGGAAGAGTAATATACTTCTCACAAGTAATATACTTCTCACAATATACTTCTCATAACCTACAGTTTACAGAAATGGCCACTGAACCTAAATTCAATCAAAAAATATTTGTTGAGGGGCACCTGGGTGGCTCAGTTGTTAAGCGTCTGCCTTCGGCTCAGGTCATGATCCCGGGGTCCTGGGATCGAGCCCCGCATCAGGCTCCCTGCTC